TAGATAGATAGATAGATAGATAGATAGATAGATAGATAGATAGATAGATAGATTTTAAGCAGAATGGGGCAAGTGAGTGTCCTAAAATACAGAGTATATGTTTCATGTGTGTGAAGCCATGGGTTCAATCCCCAACACCAAAAGAAAAAGAAAAGATTGTAAAAATCATCATCATCATCATCATCATCATCATCATCTACCCCTAGAACTTTGAATAATCTTTTTTTCCAAAATTTATCTTTTTTTGTCTTTAATCTTTGTGCTTACCTTAAAATAACATCATTCCTGAAAACATTTGTAAACTGCCATACTCATTTTGAGTTTCCAGGGCTCTTCTGATTAAGCCCTGAATGAATCATTCACAGATGTGAACTTTTGTACAAATCTTGGGGAAAAGCTGCCTGCTGTGCCCAAGATAAAGTCCTGGCATGTGGGAGCATTCAGGAACCTCTCATCCTAAAAAGAGCTACAGTTTTTCCTCAGGTGATAAGCAATCTTATAAAACGTATACAGAGAGGCCCAAGGTTTGTAATCCAGTACTGATAATGTTCTGGCTTCAAGTTTGGTACATGAGTCCTAAAGATCCTCATTCAGCTGTCCTCCTGGGTAAGCAGGAAATCAAGGTGACACCCTTAGCCTGGCTGCCATCGGCTCAGTGTCACGTGGAGTGGTTAGCCTCCGCTGAAGTTTAAGCAGCTCAGCTTCTCTGTCTTTGCCCTCTGAAGAAAAGGAGCCCCTGCTGTGGTCTCCTGGGTTCTCTCTGGGTCTGGAAGCCCCAGAGAGATTTTTTTTTTTAAATCAGAAAGTCACTCATTTTCTTTAAAATTTTGAACATATTTCATATCTTCCTGCATATGAGTGAGTGAGTGAGTGAGTGAGTGAGTGAGTGAGTGAGTGAGTGAGTGAGAGTCTCAGCCTGGCTTTTTTGGGGAGGGGACAGGGTACTTGCACTTGTTCACGAAGAGGTGATGATGGAGGCTGAAGTGATGATGCTCAGTTGGGAAAGTGCAGCCTAAGCACTAGGTTCTGAGTTCAGACCCCCAGCACCTCCGTAAAACATCTCCTGCTAGGGAGGCAGAAATGGGGTGGGGGGAGTCCTAGGGCTCTCAGAGCGGCCAGTGCTAGCTACTCAGTGGGCTCCAGAGTCAGCGAAAGACAGTGTCTCAAAAATAGATAAGGTGGAGAGAGGTGTGGGGACAGCTCGTGTCAGCCTCTGGTCTCCACCTGTAAGTCCACGCATGTGAATGTACACCTGTACACATATGAACAGATACACATGCTTATACCAAATAACTAAATAAATGTTATGGCTACAAGTGTCCTGGCTGTGATGCTGCTTGGAAATAGAGCCATTTGCCTGGCTCAGGCTTGGTCCCCTGCACTGCTCACATAGCTGAGCATATATCTACGATGGGCACGTCTGTGAAGATACAGAGAATGGTTCATTCTGCTGCCTTTTCCCTTGTCATCGGCTGAGCCAGGAAATCCATTCCTGGTCAGTGTTTATCTTCTCCAGCTCCATGTTGACCTATACCCCCTTTGACATCCTAGGACAAGCAAGGGATACCGTGGTGGCTGGGACTGAGCTACAAAGGAATCTTCCAGTATGACTACCATGATAAAGTGAAGCCAAGGAAGGTAGGGGTGCTGTCTTCTGTGGGCTTAATTAATTAAGGGTTCTCTTTTGAGAGAGGAATGGGGTCGATGTGAGTTGACACTGCACAGCCTGAGGGCTCACCAATCCCATGCTAATGTACATATATGTAAATTACTCCACAGTAACCTATCCAAGTTTCCTGGGTAAATATTTTTCTCTCCCTGTCTCTAAGGGAACTTAAAGTGTTATGATTAGTTAAGGTAGGGCGTTTGGCGCCATTCTTCAAGAGCAGATGGGCAAATGAGCTCTGAGGAACTGTCATGTATGCTCCTTTTCTTGGAAGGCTACATGTTTTGGCAAAATGAAGGAACATTATCTCTCTTGAATCCTGAGGCCAATCTGAGTTCTCCCTGATGATCTCTTGGACAAGGTCATAGGGCAGAGAATATACAAATCATAGGTCAAGGAGAGATGAAAAAAATAAAGATTAAAGAAAGGTCTTGAAAACCTTTAGGGCATCATAGAAGTGAACAGAGACTAGAGTCATCTGCCCCAGAAAAGGGAAGTCAAGTCACTAGAAACACGAATGTGTCTGAATAGAAAACATAACAATGGGAAATGCTTTTGGGATGAGAATGTATCACTGCTCCATTATGCCCTTCCAGACTGCTACCCAAGCTTTTGTATTCATTACTAGAATAGAAACATATCCAGGCCGATCACACTCTGTGCACATCTGGGCTGACCACATCCTATGCACATCTGGGCTGACCACACCCTATGCACATCTGGGCTGACCACACTCTGACAAAGTTGACATCTGCATTCTTAGTTACCTTCTTCACCAAATTGTTAGTGGGGAGATGGCCCTGTATCGGGAAGAATGTTCACTTAATTGATCAGTAAATCATTCTGGTTCCAAGTAAAGATCATGAAAAAATGATGGAGGAGTTGTTCACTGGGAACAATGCAGCAAGAAGCTGCCTCTTTGGGCAAGTGTGTTGCTTTGTTTTCTGCAAGCTCCAGAATCTCTGCCTTTTTCATTCACACACAAGAAATGAATGGTGCTCCCTATCCCCCTCCAGTGCTCCTGCTTTAACCCTCTTAATTTTCTGAGCAGTAGACCTTATCCTTACTGTATCTTCATATTCGCTGGCGTTTTCCTCACCTGGCCTTTCTAATGCTGTGCTTAAGTTTTCTCATCACTTCCTCCTTTTCTTTTACCCCACCTCTTCTCTCTTTCCAACCAACCGGACTGATTCTTCTTCTTTTTTTTTTTTTTTTACTTGTAAATGACAAAAACGCTCCAAGCACCTTTCACGAAGTCCTGATTGCAATCTGTGCATCTCTGCCTTGCCCTTATTGGAAGGAGAAAGCTGGGCGGGCAGTGTAGCTTCCAACATTAACAGTATGGGCTTGATGGATATCCAGGGATTGTAGCAAGTAGGCACGTAGGTATTCAGTTAGAGCTTAAGAGTTGTCAAGAATTCCCAAAGCCTGACTGAACCGAGGCCAGTGTGGCAAACTGAGACCCACAGTAGAATTCAGTCTTTCCCTCTCTGCTCTGCTGAAGGCATGCCAAGTGTGTTGAGACTTCCATTCACTGTATTCCTGTGAGGGTGGTTTTTTTTCTTAATTTCTCTTAAGTGTAACTCTGATGAAAGTAGTATGATAGCACTTGATATCTGTAAAACACCACAGAGACTCATAACATGGTCTCAATAAATTTATCACTGTGAGTAAGACCTGACTTGGTTTCCAGTGCTTACAGACAGTTCTAAAAAAAAAAAAAAAAAGTTATCAACAGTGGAAAAGGAAAGACAGATAAAGTCACCAGCATTAATGAGTGAAAATTTTCAGTTCTTGGTCATAGAAATCCCTGGGAGACCTCCAGATGCAGACCGTGTGGGCTCACATACAGTTTGGGGTCCTTAGGAAATGAGTGCTGAATATAAAGCTAGTAACTGTCCTTTCAAACCCCCATCAGGCCAAGTGATGCCGCTGCTTCGTCAGCTTTGAGGGGTCCATGTATCTAAGATATTAATGGGGCTGAAGGGCAAAACTAAAGAGTGAGTGAGAGGCATAGTTATGAAATCCTGGCTGCTGGAAGACTTGGGGAGGAGTCCTTTTTCTCGGTACCTGATATTGTTAGCATCATAACACCGCGCGTGCACACACACACACTGGTTTCATGTATGAAATAGGAAAGCAACTAAGAGCATTGGAACACGTGACAAGAAGATGCACGCACATGGCACAGAGTTATCATTGCAGGTTTACATAGAAAGCAATCCAAGCCCCTCCTTGGCGCCTCCAGACCACTGTGGGAGAAACTCTCTGGGTCCACCCTATCTCTCCAACCCTCTGCTATGCATGTAGAAAGCATTACAGGGATATTCACGGGGGTCTGGAGATAGGCACCATCACTCATGGCCATCTGTGCTTCCTGCACTCAGGCAGAGCAGGTGTGGCTGGGCTGTCCCTGGGTAGTGAGGGCTGGAGTGTTCCCAAGCACAAGAGGATGAGTGAGCTACACCTGAGGGATGTCCTCCAGATGGTAGCACGCCCTTCTGGCACTGGAGCCAGGCACATTTCCACCGCCTTAAGCCTCCAGGAATCCTCAGGAGATGATGGGATCCAAGTACCTGGAGGCATCTGTGGTAACAACTCTATCTCCTGCCCAGGCAGCTCCTCCCACCCAGCAGCAAACACAGGCCCTTGCTGACACTCTGACCCACTTACAGCAGCTCTGTCACATGACACACAGCCCCAAGAGCCAACCTTCAAGTTGGGGCAGTGGCAAGGCTGACCTCTCCCCTTCCTTTAAAGGGCTGTGGGCCGTCCTCTGCTGTGCCGCCTGAGAGGATCCATACCTGTGGGGGCTCATCTGAAACATCTCCCCAAATCCCCGATTGTCCAGAGCTGGTGGCCATCTCAAATCAATTCTCTGAAATGAGATGCAGTCGGCCATTCCAGCTTCAGTACCCTCCCTATGTCACTGGGTCCCACACTGAACAGCTTTGGACACGTGAAGTGCGAAGTGAGGGTCCTCCAGGCTGGAGAAGAAGAATTTACACTTCCCGTTAATTAGAGCCCACAGCATACCACCTGGATCTCTCTGGCAGGCAGGTGCTTCTCTTCCTCAGAACAGTTCTCAATACCAGCTCTGATTCATCTCAAAACACTTCTGAAAAGCCAGGTGTTGCGGCGCTGGCCTGTAGCCCCAGTACTTTGTCTGGGATGTAGTGAGTTACAAGTCATCCTGGGCCACATATCAAGATCCTGTCCCCAAAAACAAAACAGCAAAACAACAACAAAAAGAAAACACAAAAAGAAACAATATTTAAATTCAGATCTAAACAAAAACAGATTTATTTTCTTGTCCCCCAGCATGTTTGGTCAGAAACAATCAGACATGTGGGGACTTTTTAAATACTTGTTTTTGTCTTTTGAGCGTGTTCAGAATAATACAAAGTTTTTAAATGAAGAAGTCAGGGCAGGTACTGGAGGCAAGAACTGAAGAGCAGGCCGTGGATGAAAGCTACTTCCTCTTGGAGGCTTGCTCAGCCTGCTTTCTTGTACAGCTCCAGGACACCTGCCTACGAGAGGCACAGCCCATGGTGACCTGCGCCCTTCCATGAATGAAGATGCCCTATGATCTTTCCTATAGGCAATCTGATGGAGGTGTTTTCTCATTTGAATTTCTATCTTCCTAGATGACCCTAGCTTGTTTTAAGGTGACAAAAAAAAAAGCAACTAGCACAGATGCCATGCACAGAACACTCATCCCCTAAATGCCCTAAAGTGGTAGCGAACAAGACTTCAAAATGAGTGGAATCTGCCGTGGGTGCTCATTCCCCACTGCAGTGCCCTTTGCTTGCATTCATGAGCTCTTTTATAAGGATGAGGCAGGTCCCCTCATCAAAGTTGCCGAGAATACATCATAACGTGTCGTGTGGGTCTTTAAAGAGGCCCTCCGCCCACTCTCGGGAAACACTGCCTGCATCCTTCACCCAGTGATGTTTTCCCTCATACCCTCTGCCCACCTCTGGACAATGTTCGCAAGCCGCTTAGAAGCATCCCTATGGGTTGCCACTCTCTTCTTGCCAGTGGGCAATCTTTATGAACAATGTACACTCTGAGGAGAATCTCTCTCTCTCTCTCTCTCTCTCTCTCTCTCTCTCTCTCTCTCTCTCACACACACACACACACACACACACACACACACACACACACACACACATCTATCTTGGTTTAGCCATGAAGAATAGGAGGCTCATGGAGGCCGAAGAGAAAAAACTCCTGCCTCTCCATAGGTGGTTGCCTTCTGTTCCATCCCAGCTGCCAACCACCTTTAACATGCATGCACACATACTCTACTGCCTGTGTTGTTTATTTCCTAAATTAGAGTCCTCTTGGCCTCAGGGATTAATGAAATGGTGCCAAATAGATGTTTGGGCCCTTGGAGTCGATCTCAGGCTACCTCGTAGTTTGCATTGGTGGTCAAGTACTGAGACTTAGCATATCCAAATCTGAAAACTGCCCAGCAGCAGTGACATTGGCTGTCCTAAGCATTCTGCCAATCATGCTACGACAAGTTGTTGTTGTTTTTTTTTTTTTGTTTTGTTTTGTTTTGTTTTTCCTTTCTTTCCTGGAGCCTTTGAATGCAAAGTAAATGGCATATATTGGAGAGACCTTATTGATTCAGCCTGACAGAATCAGAGTCTTAGGGAGCATAAATAGGTCTGTCTCACGAGGGGCTCTCTGTAAAGAGGAGGTCCCCCGCATTCCTTAGATCAAAGCCCGGGGAAATAACAGCTGCTTTAATCTCTGTGACTGTCAGCCCCTTCTGCGCAGCTTCACTCAAGGAGACCTGAGTGAGCTGTCTCCACTAATGGTTCCACTCACTACTGGTACCAGGATGCCTTGTGAAATCCTTCTGTTTTGCAGCCTTCAGAGCTGTGGGCAGACTGACTCTCTGGTCATCAGAAGCCGCGATAAAAAGGAAACGGGAAAGGCTTACCCAGTGGGGCTTTGAGAG